CTCAGCCGGACCAAGTCCACAGATCAAATATTTCAATGCTTGGGCATTATGCTCGAGTTTACGATAATCATCAACAGTGAATTCAGATTTGGGTTTAGGAGCAACCTTACCTTCGGAGTCCACCTTAGTAATGACGTTATCACCTGCCTCAATTACATTCCATACCTGATAATTCTCAGCTTTGATGAAGTTCTCCATTCGACTCTTCCAGAATTGGTAAAATTTGCCGTTGAACAGCAGTGGTCGTTGAGTCAAGTACCCTTCTTCCAATCGTTCAACCGTATTTATACTGCCGGATCTGATCTTCCCAAGGTTTTACCCTTTATGTAGTAAAGACCGGCTCTGATACCAATTGATGAAACGGTTAGCAACACAAGAGGGGGGGGGGGGGGTGAATTGTGTGTGTGTGGAACCGTGGCAGTTTTTTTTGTGCACAGTTCTAGTGTGGGGTTCAGGGAAATGTGAAATAGTAAAGTGCACAAGGATTTAACGAGGAAAAATCCCTTGGCTCAAAGGGATTAAAAAACCTCGACCTCCCTCGGAGGAATTTTCAACAACTTCACTAAAAAGCCTTTTGTGGTTACAAGGTAAATTCTCCTAATCTACCCTTGAGCCACCCCAACTCTATCCTCTCTAGGAAGAGTTATGCATCTCTACCTTGCGGGTAGAGAGCCTCTCAGCTTTACAACAAAGCTCTCAAACACACGACCCCAACCCGAGGAAGCTACACTTTAGCTTTCCCTCAAAATCTAGTTACAAGATAAAGAAGGGAGAAGAAACTATATCTAGAACTTCGTGAGCAGGTCCAAGTGCCTTGGTCTTGATAATTCTTAATAAGTATTTCTCTCTGTAATTACTCGGTCAAGCACACCTCTTGTTCTTGATTCCTCGAATATATATATGGGCTAGAAGATGTCCGTTGATCCTTCTTTCCTTTTGAAGCTTGGTAGACTTGCCTTGATAATTTTGAATTTCTTTCCTTCCAGTTGCTTCACATTATTCGTTCAATCATGAATGATTTTACGAGTCATCATATAAGGAAGCAATATTGATTTACTTAACATGTAGACACACAACGGTCATTAAGTAGCAATAAAATATTCATGCGATCAAGCTACAAAAATATTTCTGTTTAGGAAAGCTTCGGTCAACCTTTATTAATATGGCAATCAATTTAAGATGACAAGATAGTGTAATATCATATATATAAGCATGCAACGTCCAAATATTACTTAACAAGTGACACTACTAAAGTATCCTTACCAAAAGAGTTTCCAGTTGACCTTTTTGGCTAAATGTCACGGTCAATTACAATTATAGTGGCAAAGTATTTATTTAGGTGACACATACATAGATCAAGTCATTAAACTAAATGCTTAGTCATCTATTAAGAAATGTGCCACATGTGTAATAATCTAGTGTCATAGATGAGGAATAGGCATGCGGGCATACATCAATCAATTCTTTTATCAAGCATGATAATTATTTATGTTAATCAACAAAACTAATTACCAAGTTTGTTCCTGATAGAACCGTTCGTAATTCTATCCAAAGGTCCACCTGCATGGTTAGTTAAATAATGAATAATTGTCTTTTGGACTTAGAGATCTTCTCTGTTTGAGGTTAGTCATCAACAAAACTAAGTAATCAACATTGAAAGCTTCAAATATTCTTTTAGGTCTTCCCGTACAACCCCTTCTGCAATTATTCTCAATTAGCACTTGGCCACCGGCTGTAGTCCGGCACACTCAAACACTCTAGCACAGATCGAGCAGTAGAGGCGTAGAGGTGTTCTGATTCTTCTATGCTTCATACGATTCTTATTTCCTATTTTCTTACGTATTTCTTTAACTGGTATGTTCTTTGCTTGATTGGTGATTACTTTATATATATACTTAGTACTTCTTTAGTTTTTTTGAATAAAGTATGTGCTTTAGTTGTTTCTTTCAACTTGTAGTCGGGTAATCAGTAGTTACTAGTATAGCAGCGTGTATTAAAAAATAAAAAATATAACTAATGTATGTTTCGTATATGTAAATTTTACAATTGATTACGGAGTATTTGATTGTAATAATTACTCTTGTGAATGAATAAAACATAGAAATTTTTACATAGTTAGATATTTATATATTTATATTAATATTTTATTTATGATTCATTTACATGTTAATTATTATTTGATATGTAGTATAAAATTGTAGGTCATGTGATGGAAGAAGAAAAACATGATTTAGAATATACAAAGAGAAAGCACAAACTAAGAAAAGATTAGAACATAAAATTATTTACCGACTATGTAAATAGAAAATTATATCATTCAACTATTTTAGAATGAGGATACAGTCACTACTCATAATAGTAGTGATGTTCTTACTAATTTTAGTCTTCAAAAAGTCAGAAGAATCGACTATTATAATATCCATGTATTTTTAGTATTTTATGGATCATTTGGTTTTGAAGAAATATTCTTTTACATTAATAGTATATGGTACATTTTTGTATGTAATATACATCTATTTAATTGATAATACATTTTTTATATATATTCATGTTCAATAAGACATATTGAAATGAATTGTCTATTTGACTGTCTAAGGCCTCATAATTTCTCTAGACGACCCTGATTAAGATGTAATGTTGTTGTGCGAAAAATCAAATGGTACCAGTCCGGACTCAATCTAAAAAATTATGACTCAAGACTAGATACTCTTTCCCATTGATCTAGTCTCGGTCCTAATTCGAATCTTTACTTCCGATCCCAGTCCAATCCATTCCTAGGATTGTGTCCTCCCCTAATCGGGCATGAGATTGTAATAAGATATGATGTGTGAAAGAAAAATAATTGAGCATGTAAGTCAATCTATATGCTTTTTGAAGATTTAATAAAATGACTACGCTTTTTATAGGAAGATTTAATGACATAACTTAGTAATACATTTGATTGTTTGCATTCATATTTTCGGTTATCTATAAGCCAATCTCAATCAAGCCTCATAATATTCCTGTTAAGCGCCTGATTCAATACCGCGAACCTATATATTATCTCATGATTGCTCTAATACCACTTGTAAGACTCCGACATTTAATACCCGAACTCTGCAGGGACCAAGGTCGTTACTCTTGGAAATTTTCCAGGCCTAGTATTGTCCTTACAAACCAACACGAGCTTTTACCATACACTTTTTTCTCACTCGTGCGCGCCCTGAGAAACTTTCTAGGAAGTCACCCATCCTAAGACTACTCCAATGCAAACACACTTAACTACAGAATTTTTAGCAATTGAGCTCCGTTAAAAATACGCACTTTAGTTGATATGAGTAGTATTATTTATCTTTTTACTCTAATCTCAAGTATTACAGTTACTCTAATACGGAGTATAAAACAGAGGTAGTATAGTACAAGAACCTATATAGTAAGTTACTCTAATACGGAGTATAAAACAGAGGTAGTATAGTACAAGAACCTATATAGTACGGAGTAGTTTTCCTAATTTATTTTTAAAAAAAATTAATCTATGTGACGCCCATCGCATAGGCCTGTCAATGGTTCGGGTCCGGGTCGAAACGTAGTGTTCAAGACCCGGACCCGCTAAGTTAATGATGGATCCGGACCCGACCCGTTTATCCGACGGGTCTGAAAATTTGGACCTGGACCCAGATCCAATGGGTCTCGGAATTGGGTCGGGTAGACCCGCCCGCCAAGTATGATACGCACATCATTATAAACTTTGTGAAAATAACAAGACATGTATGTGAAATAAAAAGCAAAGTGTAAAAATTTAAAAACAAAATATATCTTCACTTTTCAAAAAAAAATCAAGGTCTCTCATAGAAAATGAGTACTTTTATCTAATAAAATATCGGTTCTTGTACAGGCATATAGCTCCACACTTTGCGTCGCTTTCTCTCGCACAAAAAGCTCGTAGAATAAACTAGAAATTAAGTCATAAAGGTCTCTTGGACTACTAAGAGTATAAAATCATATGTAGTATTATATATGATAATGATATAATAGTATTAATTATAATATTAATAAATATTGTGCTTTTCCTACCGAGCCCAATACACACTTTATTAATGTGTATTTACGATCAAAATGGACATTAGTTTTAGGGTATCTTACTATCTCGATCATTATCACGTATATAGTAGTTATGTATTAATGTGTATATTTTTATTGAATAATCATAACTAATAACTTTATGTATTATGATGTATATATGTATACTAGTTTCTATTTTATTTAAAGTGTTATAACTAATCACTTTATGTATTAGTGTGTGTGTACACAAATAAGAAATTTTAAACGGGTGCGGGTCCTTAACGGGTCGGAATCATATGTCCCATACCTGATCCGTTTATTTAAAATACTAACAGGTCCGGGTAAACGGAATAAAATATAGACCCGTACACATTAAAAACAACTGGGTCCGGGTCGGATCCAGATCTATACCCGACCCATTGACAGGCCTACCCTCGCAAAACGTCATAAATTACGAAATTTTTAAAGGGAAAGTTCCCGAAATAGGACTAAAACAGTTTGAAAATTCCAAAATAGGATTGTCATGTTTTTTATTCCCAAAATAGAAGTAATTACTGTCAAGTAATTACTGTCACTCCTATTTTGGAATTTTCAAACTCTTTTAGTCCTATTTCGGGTAGTATTTTCTTATTTAAAAGGGTAATTTGAGTTTGCACTCCATTTTATTGTTCAAATTAGATTTTGCACCCCATTTTTGAAAAATTTTATATTTGCACCCCAACCCCGTATGAAAAGACAAAAACGCCCCTCCATTAACAATTCTGTTGGCCTTCAACACAATCCTGGTTGAGGAACATTTTTGTCTTTTCATAAGGGGTTGGGGTGGAAATACAAAATTTTTGAAAAAAGAAACGTATAGTCTAATTTGGACAATAAAATGGGGTGCAAACTTAAATTACCCCTATTTAAATTATTAATCGTTAAAACTTAAAAGTAGGTGTTTATTTTGCTTCAATCTG